AGGATGTGGAGAGATTGGGACTCTCATACACTGCTGGTGGGACTGTGAAACAATACAATCACTTTGGAAAGTAGTATGGTGATTCCTTAAAAAGTTGAATTAGAAATACTATTTGATCCATCAATCCCATTACTAGGTATATATCCTAAAGAAGTGAAAGCTAGGACAGCAACAGACATATATGCAAATTCAAGTTCATTGCAACACTATTTACAATAGCAAAAGAATGGAAACAACCTAGGTGCCCATCAACAAAAGAATGGATAACCAAACTGTGGTACACACACACAATGGAATACTATACAACCCTAAAGAATAATGCAGAATCTGCAAAACACCACATAACGTGGATGAACTTGGAGGATGTTATGCTGAGTGAAATATGACAATCATAGAAGGACAAATACTGTATTAGTTCATTATTGTAAAAGTCAAGGAAAAGTTTATATTTGGAAGGAAACTTTCTATGTTGGTTACCAGGGGTGGGAAAGGAGAAGGGAAGGAACACTGCAAAAATTAAAAATTAAAAAAAAAAAAAGGAAGATCCTCAATGAGATGGAGTGACACAGTGGCTGCAACAATGGGCTCAAACAGCAACAATTACGAGGACGGCGCAGGACCAGGCAGCGTTTCTGTCTGTTGTACACAAGGTCGCTCTGGGTCGGAATCAACTCAATGGCAGCACCTAACCACAGCGACAATTTGTCTGGATCTCCTAAAGCTGTAAATAAGCTGGGTGGGGATTGTAGGCCCATTAATTAGAAGGATCACTGGAGAAATCTCAGAGATCAGAAAGCTGAAAGCCTGCCGTTCTCACTACTACCCAGCCATGCTAACGGCACTCCCCAGTTGGGCAGCTGACACTCTCTAGGCCCTGAGAGAGCCCACAAAGTACAGAAGCTCTCCCAGTCATCTAAGTGACGGGTGGGCACCTGGAAACCTGTCTGAACTGAAGAAGTAGTGGGGGGCAGCCTCTCCAGACCTGCACACGGGCCAAGCCACGTTCCAAATGCTCCAGGGAAAAATACTGTTCAAACTCTACCTTAGAAAAGTGTCTTAGCCTCCGGCAGGATGAGGGAGGGGAAGAGACTCCCTGGGCTGCTTGATCTACCAGAAAGAGAAGAGGTTTTTCAGAGCCTGGAGTTTTCCAGCTGCCTGGAAACAGGAAGCGCCCAATCCCCAAGAACAGTAACCCTCACACACACCCTACATAAAGACATGTTGAGCCATTAGCCCTAATTGCCTGTGACTGACACCGAGTGAAACCGGCCTTCCAGGCTTTTGCTCAGCGGAAAGAAAACAAACAGCTCACATGGGACACAGGCAGCCATTTTCTCGCCCTCTGCCAACACGATTCTGCTCTGTTCCCACCAAATTATAGCATACAGAGATGAAATCAGAAACTAAACAGAGGTCTTTCGAGTAGTCCTTACCATGTACTAAAGAGAAAAGACATCTCTGTAAGGAGTAATTGGACACAAGCATTTGGTTATTAGTTTTTTCACAAAAATAAAAAAAAATACACAAAAAAACTTTTCAGAATGGTCTCTCCACACCCAACTCTCTGCATGTTTATGGTATTAAGAATATCTGCTTTATAAAAAACGCCAACATCATATCAAAAAGACAAACAATCCAATTAAAAAATGGGCAGAAGATATGAACTGACACTTCACCAAAGAAGATATTCAGGTGGCCAACAAACACAAGAAGAAACATTTGTGATCATTAGCCATTAGAGAGATGCAAATCAAAACAACGGTGAGAAACAATCTTGCCCCAACACTAACAGCAAAGTTCAAGAAGACAGAAAATAACAAATGCTGACGAGGATGTGCAGAGACTGGGATTCTCATACACTGCTGGTGGGGCTGTAAAATGATACAACCACTGTGGAAAGCGGTAGGTTAAAAATAGAAAAAGTTGGAAATAAAAATACCATTTGATCCAGCAATCCCATTACTAAGTATATATCCTAAAGATGTGATAGCCAGGACACGAACAGATACATGCGTACCTGTGTTCACTGCAGCACTATTCACAATAGCAAAGAGATGGAAACAACCTAAGTGCCCATCAGTGGAGAAATGGATAACCAAACTGTGTTACATACACACTATGGAATACTATGCAACACTAAAGAATAGTGTAGAATCTGCAAAACACCACATAACATAGATGAAGTGAAGTAAGTTGATCATGGAAGGATAAATACTGTATTAGTCCACTACTGTAAAAAGTCAAGGAAAGATTTACACATGGAAGGAAATTTTCTTTGTTGATAACCAGGGATGGGAAGGAAGGGGAGAGAAAACTGCTACACAGGTTTAAAAAAGAAAAAGTGTATGTATAGATATAGATATCCCCAAGACTACTATTGGATACCAGGTATAGGAGGGACAGGGAAAGGGGAAGCTTCGGTTTGTGGGGCACTGAGGTTGTGCTAGTGGTGGTGGTGGTGGAATATTTTAGAGAAGGAGAGGAATAATGGGGGGGACAGCATGAAAAATGCCATCAATGCCCCTGAGCTGTACATGAGGAAGCTGGGATGTTCATGAATGTCTTGTTGGGTACATTTTTACCACAATAAAAGTAACATTTCAAAAATCTGGGGAAAAAAGAAGAAGATTTGCAACACTTTTCATTCCTTAAATGTATTTAATTAAGAGAGATGCATGAGGTAAATGCTAGACATCCAATATGGCATGTATGTGGTAAAAATTGCATGTTCCTACAGATTCAGGGTTTTTGTTTTAAAAATCGGGTTTTCTAAAGTGAATTAAGAACAATACAGCATATTATACATCAAGCAAGACATGATCTTATTCATCTGTTCCTTCTCCTTTCTGAGCACTCCACACCAAGCAAACATCGGCCAGATGGTGACTGCAGAGACATGGACTCTGGCTTCGCAGGTACAACTGATAACCCAGAGGGACAGCGAGACCACCCTGGGATTGGCCCTGACTAAAATGGGTGTTGCTGAGTCAGCTCTTCACTGGTGGTTGCTGCTGTGTGCCACAGAGTTGATTCCAACTCATAACCATCCTGTATGACAGAGTGGAACTGCTCCACAGGGTGTCCTAGGCTGTGTTTGTTGTTGTTGTTGTTGTTATGTGCCGTCGAGTCGGCCCCGACTCATAGCGACCCCTCCTTGGGTTTCCGAGGCAGTATCACTACGGAAGTAGGATTGCCCAACCTTCCTTCCGAGGAGTGGCTGGTGGGTTTGAACCGCCAGCCGTCTGGTTAGCCGGCAAGTGTCTTAGCCACTATGCTACCAGAGCTCCCTGTTTAGGGGAATGCAAATCAAAAGCACAACGAGGTATCACCTCACACCCACTAGGAACACTATGATTTAAAAAATGGAAAACAATAGGTGTTGGCAAGAATGTGGAAAAACTGGGACCCTCATCCATTGCTGGTGGGACTGTGAAATGGTACAGCTGCTGTGGGAAACAGTTTGGCTGTTGTTGTTGTTGTTGTTGTATACGATCCAGCAATTCCATGCCTGGGCAGATAACCCAAAGAGTTGAAAACAGGAACACGTGTACGCCAGTGTTCACTGAAGCTCTATGCACAAAAGCCAAAAGATGGAAATAACTTCAATGTCGATCAACAGATAAATGGATGGACAACATGTGGTACAGACATACAATGGAGTACTCTTCAGCCATAAAGAGAATGAACTCCTGATACCTGCTGCAGTGTGGATGGACCTCGAAAACAGTGTGCTGAATGAAATAAGGCAGTCACGAAGCAGCAAATACTGGATGATTCCACTTCTATGAACTATCGTGCTGTTGTTGCTCCTAATTGCTGATAGTTGGAAATTCCACGTATAACAGATACAATGCTACAAAGTCCCACGATGTATAGTGACCAAAGTTTACTAGTGGTTACCAGTGGCAGGTAAGCAGGAGGGGAAAAGGGGACCCGTTGTTTAGGGGACACAGAACTTCTGTTAAGGGTGACAGAAAAATTTGGAAACGGATAGTGGTGATGGTTGAACAATGTGACATGATGACTGTAACTAATGCCACTGAATTTTACATGTAAAGAAATGTTGAAATGGAAAATGTTTAGTTACATATATATTTACCACAATTTTTAAAATGTATATGAAGCACACATTTAAGGCGGAAAAAAAAAAGAGGAAGAGGATTTCACTGTCCAGTTCAGAAGTCAACCCCTCCTGATAATTCCTTTACAACCACTTCAAAGATGTCATTCACCAGGTGCAACACCCATCATCCACTGGGTGCTTGACATACACCCCCTTATTTGAGCTTCTCAGTTTCCTGGAGAGACATGGATGATCACTGTCTCCATGCTGAAGACGAGGACATGGGCTCAGATTCACTAATACGCTCAGTCAATGTCATAGAGCATGCAGCAGGAATTCAAACCGAGATCTATTTGACTCAAAGTCCATGCTCTTAATCTCCATTCACCATACAGCCAAACCTGATCTTCCCTTTGGCTTACTGGAGCCAATCTTTTTATGATCCAGGGTCTTTACCATAAGATTTAATTGTGAACTAAAGAATGGCAAGAAAACTAGCAGCCCGTGTCAACATCAGACCTGGCTGATGATGGACGACACAGAGTAATCAGAGCGTAGAGTCTACGTCTTCCATAGGCAGATAAGATACAATTCAACAGAGAAAAGCTGGTTTCTAGACAGGATCTATGCACACACCCTCCAATGATTCAGGAAGGCAAAAATGAGCTCCTTGTTCCATAAAAGCCACACTCAAGGAGTCAAGCTATCCATTTCAACTCACGGTGTAAGGTAGTATTGATTTTGTCGGAGATATTTAGATTCGTTTTAAGATTTATGTAGAACAAGCAGTTCTCCCACACCTCCCTGGCTCCTAGCACGCAGTCTCCCCACCCCCCAGGGACTGCTGGTTAATAAACAACCATGTGGTTTCTGGCCCTTGAAGGAGTCTCAGTCTTTGGGGAGGAAAAGTGCTGCTGTGGGGCAGGCGGCCACTTACCCAGCAGGCAGCGCATCAGGGGCCTGGGTGGGCGCCGGGAGCTGCTGAGTGCCCGAGGTGCCTGGCTCCTCTCCTTCAGCTGGCGTGGCCGGAGCAGGGAGAGAGGCTGCGTTGGGGTTTGGGGTCACACTTGACACTGCAGCAGGTGGGGATGTCACACCAACAACGGAAGATTCCTCAGGGTCGGTGGCTGCAGTGGGTTCATCGTTCACTGAAAGTGCAGAAGTTGTATTTTACAGATCAACTCGGAATTCTGTTCACGTTTGCTAGGTTGCTCTCTTGTGCTGACACACCACCTATAATGTTATCACACGTGCACTGGGTGACCGCAAAAGGTTTTACAATACGGAACCTAGGAAATTACAGCAAGCCAGTCATGCCTGCTCGAAGAAAATCGGGGATAAATCTGAAACAAATATATTAAATATGACCTCCTTTATAAAAATTTATCAAGTTTTTATAACATACTATGGTTACATTTACTCCTATACAAGAGTAGCAGGAAAGATGAAGATAACAGGGAATTTTTGTTTGTTTGTTTGTTTTGCTTAATGGAGCAGGCCAAGGCCAAGTTTACAGGGTCATATACTTTTCTTTAAATCTGTCAGTTGTCTACTAGGCAAGAACAACATCTTCCTTCAAAAAGCTCCATACACAAAAAGAGGCAGAACACTTCCAAAAATGTGTTGATTCTTTTAGACTCATGCTCAAAGCAGGAAGAAAGGAGTATTATTCTAGATGAAAAAGATGGGGCTCAGAAGCAAAGGGACTTGTCTCCAAGGTAACAAGGGACAGAAGTGAAACAAGCTAGTTGCCCAGTTCCCTTATGTCTCCTTTTCTTCATTTCTCTGATGGACACATATGTTCACAAGGACCACGAGGCACTGCCGTATCCTCTAGATCAGAAAGAGTCACACAACATTTTGAAGAATTATAATTCTTTGAAACAGATAAGCCATACACAGAGGATTTTCTACACATGGGCTTGCGTACGTGTACATGTATACTAGAACCCTCAGTCATCTTTTAGCCTCACTTTCCTAATGCAAAATTCTTCTTGTAGTTTCCTTAACAAATGATTACCCAGCTGCTTGAACACTTCTTCTGACAGAAAGCTCCCGGCAGAGCCTTTCTGTTGTTGAACAGCTGTAATAGTCAGGGAGTTTTTGATTATGTTAGGCTGAGTTCCACTTGCTGGTCTTAGTTTCCCATCCCCATACCAAAGCAATGCAAAGTAAGTATCTGGCTACCCTGTTTCTCATTAGCCATCTCTTTTCCAGTGAAAAGGCCTACTACCATTTTTCCAGCACTTCTTGAATGCCCCATTTCCGGCCACCTCTGTCCTTCCCAAGTATCTGGCTGCCCTCTTCTAGGTATCATCTTCTGCTGCTTCAAAATAATCCTGTCAGGAAGTGAACATAATAATTCAGATGCCACCAGGCCAGCAGAGTCAGATCACCATATAAATGGCAATAAAAATATACTAGCTACCCTTGGAAGAGATGCTCCATGACCTACTTCCAAAACTCAGCCAACGGAAAGCCCATCAATTACAATATTGAATCCTCAGCCGATCCAGGGGGTGGCACAGGATCCAGCAGCCTTTCATTCCACTGTCCACAGGGTCTCCACGAGTCGGGGCTCAAGTCCAAGGCAGGTAACAACAAGTTAACATTCGTGGAACACTTAGTGTGGGCCAGACAAGGTGCAAGTACTTTTCATGGATTATCGCATTTAAGCCTCACACATAACCCCCCAATAAGTACAATTAATATCTCCCGTTTTACAGTTGAGCAAACTGAGTCTCAAAGAGGTTAATAACGTGCCCAAGGTCACAGAGCAGATACTTCACAACGCTCCTGTCTGCTATGAGTCACGACCAACTCAACAGCAATGAGTTTTAACGGACGATCTGTCTCCAGAGCCTGAACCATCTCCCTACACTTGACTCCTCCCTCTGCACGTGCTCTAACGCAAGGCAAGATTACCATCACTTTGAAGCAACCACATGACCCAGTTGGCTAACATGAGATTGGCCATCAGCTGAAACTAAAATTTCTTCACAAGATGTGATGTCAAGCTTGATCTTACCAAATGATATGAGTCTGAGGCCAGGGACTCCCTACAATTTACTCATGTGCTTTCTCCTCTGTGTAAGAAATATTGTCTGGCACAAAAGTAACTTGTTTAAAAAAATGACTAACTCCTGGACAATTGATGTTTCCCCAAGATAAATGCAATATTTTATATTTATATTACTATTCTATCTCATCTACTTTAGTAAAGCACAACAGATGTCAATTCTCTTTGGGCAAATCTATAAATTTAACTCAATTCCAATTTTAAAAAAATACAATCATGACTTTTTTGAGAGCTAGATAAATTCATTCTAAAATGTATAAGAAACTATATATACAAGAATGGCTATGAAAATTCTAAAGAGTATATAGGGAAACTAGTTCTCTAAGTTATTAAAATATACTACAAAGCTACAACAATTAAAATAATGTGGTACCGCTGCATTAATAAAGAAAATTCAGAAGTAGAATTTAATATACATACCAATTTAATATTTGTCCAAACCCACTGCCATCAAGTCAATTCTAACTCAGAGAGACCCTGTAGGAAAGAGAAGCATTGCCCCACAGGGTTTCTAGGACAGTAATTCTTTATGGAAGCAGACTGCCACATCTTTCTCCTACTGGCATATGACAAAGATGGCATTTTAAATGGATTATTCCAATAAATAGTGCTGGGACAACTGGGTAGTACGTTAGGAAAAGAATTAGGTTGTACTCGTACCTCATTCTCTACATCAAAATAAATTCCAGATGGATCAGAAATGTTGAAATAAAAAAAGGGAACTGTAAAGGAACTAAAGAAAACACGGAAGAATATTTTCATAATCTTAAAGTGAAGAAGACTTTCTTGAAGTACCACATGAAATCGAAGAGCCACAAAAGATTGAATTCAACCAGATTAAAATTAAAAATTTCTACATAGCAGAAAAAAACAAAACACCATAAGCAAAGTCAAAAGAAAAAACAACAAACTGGGAAACACGATACCAACTCATATTACAGATCAATGACTAATTCCTTTATTACAGATCAATGACTAATTTCCTTCTTATGAAAAAGAACACCTACAAATCAACATGAAAAAGACAAAAATATGAACAAACACCTAACAGTAAAGGGAAATATAAATTACTTTTAAACACTTTTAAACTCAAATTCAATTATGATACAAGAAATGTAATTTAAGGCTATAATAACATATTTTAAAATCTATCAGAATGACAAGGATGAAAATATTTAATCACACATTGGTAAGAGTGTAAGAAAAAACAGGCACTTTCACATATTGCTGGTGGGAGTAGAAAGTGCTGTAAGTCTTTAGAGAACAGTTTGGTAATATCAAAAATTCAAATGCAATCATCTGGGAGTAAGGAGAAGTGGGAAGAAGAGAGGTGGACGGGCCTAGAGATGACATTAAAATGGCTGTCAGTCTGTGATAGCTGCAGCTGAGTGATCGGTTCTTTTAATATTTTTAAAATTTTTCATATATATTCAATTTTTGTGGCACAGATGGAGAAGGCACATAAGTCTGATTGTCTGTCTTTTGTCATGTTAGCCACCACTGATGATTAGTGTTCTAAATCCATTAATTCAAGGGGTTTACAAAACAGTAATATTCTACTTCTATCATGCCTTCTTCATTTATTAGCTAGAACAGGTCTATCAAGAGAAACGCCCCCTCATCAACTATATGACTACGTTGAGGTTCAGGAGTTTTCGTGGTTTGGTTTTGTTTTAAAGGCGTGAGAAATGCTTGATTCCCTTTTATTTAGCAGTTTTCAGAATAATGAGTTGATTTCTCCACATCCTTCAAAAATGGAAAATGAAATTGTTTAAAAATCATTATAAACTTAGACCTAGACAGATTTAAAATACTTCCATGCATTGTGATTCCTGTTCTTATCGACACAAAAGTTGTACCCTCTTTGGCTGGTGCTAGTGGAGGAGGGGAGCTCCTCAGGTTGGCCTCAGGCTCTAGGGAAACTTTCTAAGATAATTACTTTATAGCGGGAAACTTCAGGGCAACGTATGTATTTTGCTAGTATTTGTGTATGTAAATGTTTTCAAAGGATATATATGTATAATCAAAGAATACCTTTAGAAGAATCACAAGAAACTAGGAACAGTGGCTGCCTCAGGGGGAGAGACTGAGGCTGGGAGATTGGAACAGGAAGATTTTTTTTTTTTTTTTGACACTGTTTAAGCTTTTATACATGACTGTTTTTAGAGTGCCTATATACTACCAAGGAGTTCTGGTGGCATAGTGGGTAAGGCATTTGACTGCTAACCAGAAAGTAGGTGGTTCAAACCCACCAGCTGCTCCACAGAAGATGAGGCAATCTATTTCCATTAAGACTGACAGGCTTGGAAACCCAACGAGGGTCCCTATAAGTCAAAATCCACTTGATGGCTATGTGTTTGGTTTTTGTCCTACATACTACTCACTACTCACTAAAAATAATTACTATGAGACTGTTGGCCAAGCACAGGACAAAAGCAGGGCCCCGGGGCATGCCAGTCCACACTCTGTGGACCCGATGGCTCACGTAGCAGCGATTCTACTGAGAAGGGTTCTCACCAGAACTGTATCCATCCACAGGACTGTCTGGGAGTCTTTGATCCACCAGGGGAGCTCATCTGTTTCAGAGTGGAGGGCTACACCTTGAGCTCAGATGTGGACAGAGAAGAATGTGAAAGCTGGAAAGCCTAGTCTTGATAAAGTTTTTGTTTCCGTGCTTACCCCTCCTGCCCTCAGAGACCGTTTATGTAATCGTGCACGTTATGTGTGCGTCCGTGTCTATGTGTACATACAGAACATGAGCATATGAAAGAACCTCAGAGGTAAATTCACCCCATCACAGCTTACAGTCAGAAGAAACTACAGTTCAGACAGTCATGGCCCAAAGTCACCCTGGTAAACCAGTGACAGGGCACCACATTCAAATCAGCATGTGGCTTAAGAAGAGAGAAAAGCTGCCTCTTCAGAGACAAGAGTTACAACTTCACCATATCTTAAAGAACTGCTGAATTTTACATCTTATCTTCTTCAATATGGCCTATGTCCTCTAACCAGCAATTCTAATTATTTGAGTTTCATAACTCATCTCCTCATTTTTGGCTACTGCAGCTC